TGTAGTTGATGTTCAGAAGTCATTAAGCATTTGATGATTCGTCAGTTTAAATGTTTTATTAATTTCGTCTTACTAAATGGATGGATAACAAATTCTTACAACTATGTTGTCACAGTTTGTAATGTCTGTCGTGAGAGACAAGCACTGTTTTATGTGTTTTATCTCTCTACACACAATGTGCACTGAATTTTCTTGTTCTATTAGTTAGATAATGACTTAGGATGTATCTGGCAGTGCTTTGAACAGACAACACAAGAATGCTTCATGCAGCCTCATCTGTTTATACCTTTTATACTTATTCTAGAGATCATTAAGATCTCAGTATACTCAGTTCACAAACTGACAGCAATTTGGTTTTCTGTTGTGACCTCAGTGACCTGGCAGTGTAGTGCTTCCAGTCCATGTTAAATAAGAAAACATTTCACTGATTTCCTGTAATATGACATGACCACCATATTAAGCATTCAAGATAAACCCCTGCAATTACTTTTCAATTGATACAGATTAAATTTCAATTACTTTTATTGGTAGTAAAGAATTTATGATTCTTGATTTCCACTCAGTTTGATACTACCTTATTGATGTTATTTAAAAGTTTCCTGCAATACTAACAGACCAAAAGTATCGGAACAGCAAGGCCAAATAATAGATTTTTTTTTTGCTGTGCACATAAGACATTTGTGTGTAAGATCAAAATATGCTATGGGAAGTGAGATCAGAATTGCAAATTTTATTCAATGGTTTTTACATCTAGAAAAACTTAACATATTTCACATCAAACCATTCCGTTGTTCAAGTGAGCAAAAGTATTAGAACTGTATGTTTAAACTACAGTATGTACCCAGAAGGCTTACAAAACTGCAATAATTTTTTCTCTCAGTTGAAGATATAGGTTTATGGCATCATAAGGGTCTATTTAGATGTCTATTTAGCGGTGCTATCCAATCAATTTTGGATCACTGCTGTTTGTGTATGCATTAAGCCAGATCATCTTTCTGGAGAATCCGTCAATGCACCCATTAATGCACACACCAAATGTTTTAAGTTTGTCATAGGAATCTACATGCCAGATGAAGTTGGGCTCCTTGGAGAAGTAGTTGCGTCTCCTGAGACGTCTCGATCGTCTCGTTTCCACTCCTGCTGGATCATGCTCTTTTAAAATCAAACGCACATCGTCTTTTGTTATACATGAAGTCCATTTATTCTGCATTTTGCAGACATCCAGCGACAGCCATGAAGCTGTCCCGAGTGTAAAAGCTGCTCGCGAATGAAGTTAACTACATCACCCAAGTCGGAGTAGTTTTTCCGTCGGAATAATCCCCTTTCACATAAAATCCTCTTAATCTGCCTCAAACTTATGTGAATATCATGCCTAGATCCAAGAACAAACTGAATGTCCTTATATTGTATACCAAGTTCAAAGTAAAATTCGATCAAACGCTCCATGTTTTCCTATAAATTATGTTCCTGACTGCACTACACTGACTGGTTACTCATATTTCCGGTTCAAAGTCACAACAGTTTTGGGTTATATCGCAAAAGTTTTGAGTTATATCGCAACAGTTTTGGATTATATCGCAAAGGTTTTGGGTTATAACGCAAAAGTTTTGGGTTATAACGCAAAGTTTTTGGGTTATAATGTAAAAGTTTTGGGCTATAACGCAAAGCTTTTGGGTTATATCGCAAAGGTTTTGGGTTATAACGCAAAACATGACTCTTTTTTTTTTCCTTCTGCCGTTTTTTTTTTCTGCTCCTTTGCCACCTTAGGGGCTCCATAATTATCCATAATTTTATATTTCAAAATTTTGGAGGAATTGACTTTTTATTACATTGTGATTTTGACTGTAACAGACTACACATCAAACTTTCTGATTTTCATCAACAAGTTCTTCTTTTTTGGAAACTACGTACTATACCCTCACCTAAAGGATTATTAGGAACACCATACTAATAAGGTGTTTGACCCCCTTTCGCCTTCAGAACTGCCTTA